AAGTAGATCCGTACATCACTTGTATTCTTGTATTATTATTATTGTTTTCTGAAGCAGGTTTACTTCTGTAGAGCTTAGGTAAGACATTAAATAACTCTGCGTAGTGGAACCTATCATAAACAATAATCTATAACAAACGTCATGTGTTTCTATTTTTTGTAACTTCCATTAAACATTTCAATTCTGGATAACTAGTTTTTATCTACTTTACTAAACGTAATAGAAATTATTTAAAGTTCATAGTGTACTGTCTGAGAGAAATTTTCGTTAATATTTTTATCTTATTCACCACACAACCACTGTATAATGAATATTATTTACAATACATTCTAAGACATCTGTCACTAAGTATCTATTAGAATATATAGAGCATAACTTAGTCTACCTACTAAGATTTACTTTTAAATTCTTTTCTTTATCCAAATAGTTTAAAGTTAAGGTCTAAACAAAAAACACACATTCTAGGCTTGTATTATCAACCAAAACCTATTATTTTCATACGATCGCGGTTAAAAAAAGATGGCGAGGTATTAAAATTACTACGTAAACTTATAGCTTTTTTTTATAGACTAGTATTTATACTAAGATCTGAGAATGTGCTGAAATCGCTGAAATCGTGCTTACTCCTATTTATTATTTAAAGTATTATGTTCCTTTTATAGTAGAATAGTGGTAATAGTAATATATTTGAGATATCATAGTAAAGTATCATTATAATAGATAAGATAGAAGTTCGAAAAAAAAATTGACTATGGTAGAATAAGTAACGATAATTGACGTCGTTTCGTCTCCGAATTTTTTTAAACAGAATCATCGTTAGTCCATACAATTTATATGACAACAAAAAATTTGTCTTTGGTCTAGCCACAATTTTAATACATGTATATGGACGGCTCGATATGAAAACATCATGTACTTACAATACATATATGTTATTAAATATTAAAAATATACTTTATATGTAACATATATAATTTACTCAAGAAAAAACAAATAGTTAAAGTAAAGACAAAAATACCGCATGTCGATATTCATAGGTATTGTTATATTCAGTGTACCCATAAACGGAACACTTAAAATTAGGAAAACTAAACGCAGAATAAAATAGTTGAAAGGATGTAACTTTAGCATGCATGTACAAAAAAAACAATTAAAATAACTATTCGTTTGAAAGTTATGGCCGTTTTATATTGCCCGTTATTATTAGCTCCGATTCTCATAAAATCAGAAGGAATGTATTACTTGAATGTTTTAAATCGACCGTATGTTTTTATTCTGGAATTATTCAATCCATTATTGAGAAAACCCATATCGTTTTGTACGTGAGTGATCTCATAATGTTTGATATTGTAATTTAAACGCATATTATTTGTATGTGCCCGGTTGACGGGACAAGGCTTGTCCGGTATTGTTTATTTTAATAATTAAACAGTTTAATTTATTTAAATTGAGCCTGTCTATAAATTCTTCTTCAAATTAAAGTCAATTTATTGGTCCTTGTCTGGTAACTCAATGTGTGTCAATTTTGATTTTTGATAAAAAGGTACGATTAATAAAAAAAACAGTATACATTAATAAAATTCTGGTGAAATACTCCGAAATAAGTGGTAAATTTACCTAAGATGTTGTATTGTATAAGTGATGTTGAATATAAAAGTGCGTATAACATGCAAGTACCATAATACATTAGGACCTCAAAAAACGCAACAATTCCTTTTCTTCATCTTAAGCTATTTAAACTATTAAAAATTTCAACTAAAGCCGCTGTGTGACTTAAATTTTGATACTGTTACATTGTTGTTACGTAGTTTGCCATTAAATAAATCATTATGTCACATTAAATTAATATTTATTAAAACAATGTATTCCACAATGTACCATATATTTATTTTCCATCCTTTTCTAATTCAAGCAATCAGAGTTCAGATCGGTGCAGTTGTTAACATTCCATCTCAACTAAATTAAACGAGAACAAGGTTTCATCTAGACCCACCGTTCCTCTCGTAATCGAACAATCTACATCAATTTGTTTAAAACTAAATCATAAGACGCATCATTTACTAACTTATTTTTTCTTTAATTAATTTTAATTTCGTCTAAAACGCTAAGAGGTTTTGAAGTCTTACAATAACTGTTACTTACAACCCACTCAACCCAGACTAGACAATAAAGGCACTCATAGCAAATACAAACATATACAAAACATAATACTTGTAGTCTATTGAATACCAACATAGAACTCTAGAAACTTTTAATTATCAAGGCGAGTGTTTGAACCGTGATAAGAACGCAGCCATCGCCCGCACTTCTCCTGGGAAGTGTCACATGTGCTGATAAACAGTTGAATTAAAAGAATTAGAAATATTTTTCATTGACTTCACTTCATGATGATGATATTCCATTATCCTCCTTATTATAAAACACCCATAGTTCCATTCATCCCGGCTGTGTCTCATACATAGTAACTTTATTAGACAATTTGTTAATTACATTTTTCAGTTTTAATATAAGGTTCATGTAAGTTTTGTTTAAAACACTGTTATCTTAACCCCTTCTCTGTTTAGTCAGCATTCAAAAGACTAGAATCAAGTTAGAGGTACTAAATAGATATATGGAGTACAAGTAAAAGAAAGAATGTATATAAATAAATATTAATGTAAATAATAGCAAATAGCAAATACTAGTTTTTGGTATCCATGAATACTTATAGGGTGGTGAATATCACTAAGAAAATATTATATAATACTATATATTATAATACATAGATCATTATAACAAAAGGTGGAAAACAAAAGCTTTGGTTATTTTCTCAAACATAATGAATATTATTTATCTAAAGATTTAGAAACTTAATTAAACAAGTATCAACTACAAATCACCGTACATGCAAAAATATATATTTTTACAACAACTTCCCATTTGTGACATATTTTTATAAGAACCTTCTTTTTACCAATTTAAAAATAAACATCATAGACCTCTCTCGGTTTTGTTTTAAACTGTAATAATTGTAGCGCCAGTTAAATATATTTTCTAAACCAGAAAACATTTTAGATACCACCGTCCACCAAGATAGAAGAAAGATTGTCTTTGGTCACTTTTAAACCGATCTTCTTTGAAGTCATTAAGGAAGGTCTACGTCCAGCTTTGGACGTCCTACAGCTGTAATAATAATGCTAATTACACCAAGTATCAACATTATATTATTACAACAATTTAAATAGGTAAACCTTGATAATGTCATAAAACCGTTAAATTTAAAAATACAAACATATATATTGTTAATAGGAAGCACGATACAGTCATGGAAACTAAAATAAGCCGAAACTAAAAATTAAAACTAAACTATTCGTACTGACAAGTACCAAAACCTCTTGAGCGTTGTACAATGTCACCTAAACATTAACATTTATTTAGAAAAATATCTATATGTAGTTATAACTATAGTCCATACTATTAAACGAACAATTTACTATGAGAGCTCGATCTGCGATTAAGATCTCTTGCACAGCATCTCTTTATCGGACGGGTATCTGAAACGAAAAAGTAAAATTTATAGTTAAATTTTAAAATCCAGGTTTTTAAAACATTTTATCGATTTTAACTGAATTGTAGGTTACACAAATATAAAGCCTCAGTAAAAAGGTTATAAAATTGATATACTTAGTTATATTATTAAACTAGGTCTGATAAATGTTACACTAAACTATAAAATTGTCCTTATTATAAATATTTCATTTTAAAACGTAAACGTTACGAAAGCTTTACCTTCCATTAAATGCACGATACGATTTTTAAGCTGTAATTATGAAATAAAAACAAGAATAACAAAAAAAAATTATCCACAAAAATAACAAAAAGATTCTCTCCGGCGGGGAATCGAACCCCGGTCTCCCGCGTGACAGGCGGGGATACTTACCACTATACTACCGAAGACTTGTCTATCACTGTCAAAATACGTATCCATATGCCACCAACCATACCACGTCTAAATACCATAGTGTTTATTTGTAAAGAGTTAAGATTTTACTGTTATGATAAAATTGTTTCAATTAAATTATATTGCTTCAGTATTAAGTATCTTTATAGGAGTTCAGTGGTTCGAATCGTAGAAGAACTCTGAATGTTCATACTATACGCTGCAGTGCTCTTGCCCTTTCATTAGGAACGAAACATGATATTTTTTATGCTTAAATGGAAATGTATGTTAAAAACTTCATGACTAAAAACGATGAAAAATACATGTTGTCGATTTGTAAAAAAAAAAACATTTTTTTTGTATACACTGCTTGGGTTATAGAGATTAATATGGCTGTCATCAAAATAATAATAACATTACTTCGAACATCTAACACACAACGCCATCTAGTTTCAAACAACGTACAAGCTCTGCTTGAGCTTGTATATGAAAGTTAGATTGACTGATAAAATACTTCAATACTTTTTTGTCTGATATCCCAAACTAGGCAGACTGTGATATGGTAACCAGACTGCTGATAAACATACTTATATATTTTTAAATACATACATTTTATAGATAAATTACACCCAGACAAAGAACAAATAACCGTGCTCATCACACAATATTTGTCCTGGGAGGGAATCGAACCCACGACCTCCGGCTTAGCAGTCTGGGCCATTGACCACTATACCAACAGGTCTGGCATAATTAACGAACATTGTGAACTGAACTGCTACGTTATCCGTCATAGATAATCTTGGCAAAGTAGAAGGTTAATTGCTTTACAAACATTTACAAAAAAAGTATGTAAGTATTCTATCAGTCAATCTAGCTTTCATAGTACAAGCTGTGCTTAGTTTGAAACTAGATGGCGTTGTGTCCGAAATATTATATTATTATGTACTCGGTGAATAGCAACAAACGAATTGCTTAACTACGGTTTTCTGTACTGCATACGTTATGTATGATAAATAGATAGAAGACATATAATATTGTTTCCCGCTGTCTGTAATAAGGTAGTTGATATGTTACTGTTACCTCACGTGTCGGCAACTGATTGGTTGGCAAGAGAGCCGTCCCACGCTGCCTCCTTGTGTAAAGCTGCCTGACGCTTTTTTTCTGTAAAAAATAATATATATTTATTACATATTTAGTATATTATATATTTCATAATTATCATACTTCTTACATAGTATAAAATGAAGTCGCTTTTTTTTTCTTGTACGCTTAGATCTAACGAGTTACGCAACGGATTTTAATGTGGTTTTCACCAATAGAAAGAATGATTCAAGAGGCTGATTTATAGGTATAATACATGTATATTATAGTAGAGGAAATCTGAGAATTTCAATTATTTGTAATGTGAAGTTGTAAAAAACATGTTTTTGTGCATTGCAAACGCTTTCACGCCTAAACCACTAAATCGATTTTAAAAATTCCTTCGCCAATGGAAAGCTAAATTATCAGCGAGTAACATAGGTTACTTTGTACCGCGATAACAGACATACACGCGGGCAGAGTCGCGGGCAAAATCTAGTAAAGTTATATAAACGAGTACTTCAAAAATATGAATCATTGTATTTTTCACTTCTGTTTTATGTTTTAGAAAATCAAAAATAAAAAAACCATAAAATGAGGACAGATTGGGTTCATCATCATCAACGTATCGCTTATAATCATATCGGGTTAGATATACACATTTAAGTTGTAACTTAACACATTCTAACAATGTTGATATTTTTCTTAATCGAGTTAAAGGAAAGGAAGCTTAACTGGACTTACCTCTGGCAAGTGTCAGTAGTCTTCTTTCCTCCGCACGTTCCTGGCTGCTGGTGCTCAGTTTCACTCCCAAAGCACCAGACACAAGTCGCCGTGCGAGTGCTGTGCACGTCTCTGGTCGTTGTCTGAAAATTTGGATAGAGTTATATCAGAAATGGGCTAAATTTTTCATGTTCAGAGACACCTAATTCATAACCATATGCTGCTAAATAAATGTATGCATTCAAAAAGTTCTCAAATAAAACATCAACAGCTTTTATTTTAAACTGGCTGTTGTGTGCATTTCTCAAAAGGGACAAATTTTCCCCATTTTTGCAATATTTTTTATTGATGCTCGGCATCTATTGGTCGTGACGTGATGTTAAATAGCCTATAGATTTCCTTGATGAATGGGATTTACAACACTGAAAGAATTATTCAATTCGAACCAGTAGTTCCTAAGATTAGCGCATCAAACAATCTCTTTAATAATAATTAATATTAGTATAGATGTCTACTCTCCCATTGATGCACGGTTATTGCATTATTTTGTATTGTCAATTTATCATAGTTAGTTAATTAAATGAAAATATGGAAATATCGTTAGTCTTCTTGGTAAACACAGTAATATTATGTCACTAAACTAAATCATTAAAATTATAAAAAGAAAAAATAAATAAATGACAATAATTTTGTAATTTATATCTAAAGAATAGTATAGTAATTGAAAAAAATGCTATTTGTTTCTGAATCCACAATAAGAAATAACAAAAAGAGTTCTCTCCGGCGGGGAATCGAACCCCGGTCTCCCGCGTGACAGGCGGGGATACTTACCACTATACTACCGAAGACTTACAAACTTTGGCGAAATTGCCGTTCTGTACATTACTGCTGCCAAATGACTGATAACAAATTTAAATGTTTCATTATAAACAGAAATAACAATACGTTTATGTTAATACAATTTTTGCGCGTTGCAATCTTATCCTGCTTATAATAAACAGCGAAAGTAATTGCATATTATAATTTTTATTACACTTTAAATCCTAACAAAATAGGAATTAAATTAGTTCATTAACTAAGGACGGGACTGATCACGGATTTGTAATAAATGACTTCCCATAATAACATAATATTCCCATAGAGTTTAAAAATACATTCATAAGTCTATACTTCATTCACACTAAATAATGATTATATCAGTGTACTACTGCAACCATAACTTGTAAATATTTAACTTTTGATTTATTTTAAACGATTTAAGTTTTTGTTATGTTTGTGTCGGACTGGCCTATTCTCATCATTAAAGAGGGACTGAAGTAAAGTTGGGTCCGCTACTCTCTATTGTCTCAGTAGAAATTTAAGACTGGTGTAAAGGGAGTTCGCTTACCAGTTCCCTTTGTATTGATATGGCTTGGCCACACGACAAAAAAGCTTTTATACACTTTACAGGTACACGCTTACTTAACTTTTGTTGGCGTTTTTATAGTAAATAGCATATTTATTTACTGCCACAGCAATGCTAGGTGCTTTAGAACGATAAAACAAACTAAGGCGTTTCGAGAGCATTCTTCTAGTTTACTGTACAAAACACACATCATCACATCACACCGGCAGGCACTTGTATATCCACGTAATTCATTTATTAACCAATCAGTCTCTAACGACCTTCAAATACGATGGAGTTACATCGATTAGATGAGGAGTTTTATGAAGTAAATGATTAATTTATTGAGGAGTTCGTAAGGCTACCTGCTGGAGTCATTGAGATTTCTATTATACCGTATTATTGCATTGTCCCCGAAGAAGTGTTTTCAGATTTTCAAATTCAGATCAATTTTGGTAAGGTGTGACTTGGTACAAACATGGCAGGTGCCGTACCGTTTTAACTGTTTGAACCCCGTTTACTAATTAATTCTGATGGGGTTTAAGAAAATACATTCATAAAATATTCATACCTGTAAGGTTGTAGGAATTCAGCGCACTTTTTCGCTTTGTTACGGGATTCTAAAGTGGCGGCGTGCAGAGGCCTACATCGGACCAAAGGACGCTGCGCTGACAAGACCTCGGCAGCTGAAATGTAGAAGAATATTTGTTTAATTAACATATTTCTAATGAGTATATACCAAACATCCCATTGTGTGTGTTTCTGTAAGAGGTGTGGCTGTTTCATACCGGAAATTAAAATCATTCCGTATGCACCGTTTACTTATACGTATACTAATAGACCGTTTTACATTGTTGACCGTGAGACGTTTATTAATCCAGCGGGCCATATTTGTTTTCATTCTTTTCTTTACATATAGATAGTTCTTGAATACACACCATTTATTGAGAGCAACATTACCTACATATTTAGTTAGTTTATGCGCTAAATTTTCCACGCGTGAAATGTAATAATGTTAATTTAGTTTTGGCAGTTTTGTCTGTTACTTAAGTTTTACTTGTAGCAGTAGTACACAGTAACAATTTGTACAAAACAATTATTTTTATTGTAATTACATTATATGTATTTAGTATTTGTTTATTCGTATGTTTGCGTATGTAAATGTTCAGATAAAAAACGTAAGGTACCTGTGAATATGAAAAAAATAACTTCCATATTTCTTTATTTAAATCTGTTAATAGTGAAGGGCCTACGGACGCTTGGAACATTATTCAAGTTTTAAGTGGACTAAATAATTTAAGATTTAGAGAAGCAAGGTTTTTCTTCAGATGTTGAGATTCCGCTTCAGGTTAAAGCAGAAATCATAATTTTGATTAAAGGTACTGTAATCCATAATATTCAGAATATTTAAAAATGCAAAATATTGTCACTTCTACAAAGGATTGTCTTATTTGTTGGTTTGAGAGAGTCTAAACTAGTATGATCATGCTTACTAAACGACTTACAACAAGAAAATGCCCATTGGTTGATTGTCAAATATTTATATTTTATATAGATGAATAGATATACTTAGGTGATACAAAATAGACCTGGTCATCTATTACTGAATTAATTAATAAGCAAATTAGTGAAGCCGGTTTAATTAATCGGTATTTACGAGTTTAATAAAGGCGATATTACAATTATTGTAACCTTTTTTTTTAATAAAGATGCTTTTCTATTGACCCTGTATATTAATTTATGCCAAGGAGCTCATCACACATAAACAACGTCCGTTTCTAATTATAAACGATTTCTCATTTCCTGTTTGCATCTCGGAATGCACAATATACGCGCGAAAATAACCTGCGTGTTTTTTTTAAGCATGCCTTGGACGAATTCCAATCATAATGCGCTAAATATATCTTGAAATTGAATGAACTTCACAACAGTCTGCCTGTGGCGAGGGCTAGTGCCACCTGAAGGCCTATTCTCGATATAAAAGGTTGGTCACAATACAGTTCCTGTCGAATCTCGGTCTCACAACTGTCATAAAAGTATTTTCGTAATAAAATATTAAACATACAAGGTTGACTCACGTTGCAGTCTTGTGTACATTATTGTATTATAGTATTGTGACCGAAAATTGAATAGGTAATCTGCTAGTCTTAGTAATACTTTACTATTTTACTACGAAAATACAGTTGCGTGGCATTTTTGAACAATAGACAAGATAATGTATTTTTTGAGATGGGAGTTAACCATTGAACTCGCGACACTGTTACCGTTACCGACATCTCTGTATATAAGTATGTACATATTGGCCCCGTTTACACGGGAGTTGAGTTTGGGTTGACATACCTTGATAATATAACTATATATAATATAAACATATATCGTGTATTTACGTACAACATAGATATATATACTCATGTCGGAACTTTTATAATCGAAAAAAAAAAAAACAAAAACCTGTTTTAATTAAAATAATAATAATTAAGTTTTCACTTCTGTCGGCACTCCCGGAGTGCCAGCTTTTTTATCAAGTTTTGTTGCTCATTTCTTATCAATGCAACCACAACGTGCCACAGCTAAGTGTGGCAGGGTATTGCTAGTTAGTAGTACATGATGCTAGTGGGTACATGATTTTTGGAAGTTTCAATGTTTGAATAAAGAAGAAAAAAAAACAAATTAGAAACTAAGCAAGCATGTTTCATCATCATCATTTCATGAAGTTTGGGAAAACACTAATAGCATGTAAATAAAGAAAGCTATATTTCATTGGCGCAGTGTTGTGTTTACACGAAACACAACTCCAAATAATTTTCTTGAGCATTTGTTTATATTTTCAAATGTACAAGTGGTCGCCCAGACGTCGACATTTGATTGTAATAAATTAAATTATCCATTCTTTACACTATAAATTTGTTTGTAAAGCTTTCACGCCTAAACCACTAAAGCTATTTTAAAAATTCTTTCACCAATGGGAAGCTACATTATCAGCGAGTAACATTGGCTACTTTTTACCACGATAACCGCCATACACGCGGGCGGAGCCGCCGACAAAAGCTAGTAGACCATAAAGCTATGAATGGAAAAAGGAAAAAATGTAAATCAGGAGAAAATAGTATTTACCTGTTTTTTTTTTTGGATTTAGATAGATAGATAGATAAATACTTTATTTGTACACCAATGTTTTACAGACATTATACAGTAATTAACGACCGATGTAATGTACAAAGGGCGGCCTTATCGCTTAGTGCAATTTCTTCCAGGCAACCTTTGGATGGATTCATTTTGAAATGGTGATAGGTATACCTACATAAATTAGAGAAGTAAATAAGGTCTTCACCTATAAAATATTTTTTATACATAAATACTACTAATCTATATTTATACATAAATACTATACATACATACGTTAATATATAAATACGCTAATTTTCAACTATTAGAGACAGATAATGCTCATATAGCATAGTCTTGAAGGTGGTTACGGATTGCGCACGTCTGATAGTAATAGTAGTAGATTGGATTTAGTAGTGCGAGTTGTTGAAATTTAAATAAAATCATTTATTAAACGTATGGCTCCATCCCAAAGAATCGGAGATATATATCTCCGATTCTTTGGGGACGCAGAAATCAGGCGTATGTGTTTATTTCCCAAAAAAAAACACCCTGCAGGCCGGCAGACGCCCTACTCTGGGGAAGACCCGGACCATGTTACTTCAGATTCCCCGAATCGACGTCAAGCCCAACTAGGCCCTAGCTCGGAGGAAACCGTTAGCTCTTCAGGTACGCGACCTCTACCTATGAGTAACTGCAGTCTCAATTCCTTCTTTCCCATCCCAAGATTTGTAATATCCCTTACCATTAGCTCTACTCAAGAATTTTCCCTACACACTTTCTTCGAAATTGGATAAACCTGCGATATAATTAATCAGTACCTAATCTGACACCCAAAGATTTATACTACACCGTTTAAATTGCATTGCTTGATATGTTCGGGAACAGATAAAAGAGGATTAAAATTATAAATCAAAACCTGACATCTATAACGAAGCTGAAAACTTAAAGATACCCGATAAGATATATTATTATGTTTCGTAAAAACAATTACAAACATGTCTGGATTATACGTTTTGTCACAATGTGATTGTACACTCTAGACATTCTATTACCACTTCCTGTTTCAACCGCTTTTCTATTAAATTACAGTCGTGCTCGTACACTAACATGTACGAGTCACTTACCTACAAAGTCATATAAGTATATTGTGTACAAATTCTTCAAATTAATATTATACAGGATATTTCAGATGCAACGAGGATCTTCTATTGACAGATTGACGTTCAGGAATTGCCGTGTTTTTCGCATGAGCAAAGTCGCTAGGGACTTTTAAATTCAAAAAGTACAGTACGTACAAACTTATTTCGAAACATACATGAAACGGAAATAAAGAACACCCAGACTATGGATTGACAATTTATGGATCCCACAAAGTGCTGTCCCATGTGGGGATCAGCCCACGACACTCAGAAAGCAGCGAGGTGACCGCTTAAACCTCTACGCCATATGTGCAGTCGTAACACGCGTTAAAGTAGTAACACGCCCACGCGCCCACGCACTCAGGGGAACTGATTCAGAGATTAATTATCTGAGTTTTATACTTAATACTGGAGTCCCCTATTATTTCCAAGTACAAACTTATTTTTATGGTTAAGTTGCAAGTTGACTGTTAGTAAAAAAAGAAGCCTAAAAAAGAGTTGTTTTACTTGTCTGTCCCCCTTTCCTTTTAACGTGTCCTTCAGTGTCTGACCGACCGATTGAATAATCTAAACTTCTACGAGTACTCTAAAACGATTACTCATGGTACAAACAGTAAAATATACCTTGGTCGGTGCTAAGGTCAACGGAATGCTAAAAATAAAACAAACTAAAATAAACAAATAGCCATTAAACGCATCAAACGACAATACACCGAGAACGCTGGCAATTAAAATTTAAAAATAAAACATTGGCGGCACGATGGTAATGGAGTGACGTATTCAGCCTAGATTTTGGCGCGCAACCTCGCAAGGAGGTTCAATGACCCGAGTGACGCAACGGTGCAGTGAGCAAGTGGCACGGCGGCCGCAGGCGCGTTACATAGCAGACAGTCCACCTTTCTTGATGTCAATACCAATAATACAATAAACATATACCCATCATACTCATACTAATTAGATAAGTTTTAAATTATTTCACATTTACATTGCTAGTTGGGCAAATGAGACACTTTTATCTATACAAATAAATATAATTGAAGTGTCTGTTTGTATTGTCAAAATAATATTTTCCTACAATATTTTCATGCTAAAAACCAGTTTAAATATTTTTTGTCTGTTTGTTCCGGGTAATCTTCAAAACAGCTGGACCGATTTTGATAATATTTTACTACCAGGGCCTCAATTCTGCTATTTTATGTTAACGCCAAGCCACTGTCATTCCATTGACACGCTATTGAGATGCCATTGAGACGCCATTGACATCGGACAAAATATCAGTATTCTACTAACATAAACTCACAATGGACTGTCGATATAGTAATATAGGTCATCAATGTTGATATCAACAACCAGGAAAATTAAATAAATCTTTTTCTTACAAATTTAAAATGTACCGTTTACCAAACTGTTACAAAGACTCAGTATCAGTGACAAGTCAT